GACATATAATTTTACATATAATATAAAATATTTGACTGTTATTTAGAAATATAGAAATTTAACTTATGTAGATGTATATATATATATATATATATATATATTTAGAAATAATTATCTATAAGAATTTATGACTGTCACATTGGTATTAAAATTTGTAATTCAAAAAGATTGCAAGTTATAAATTACTTTACTTCTCTTGAAATTAAAATTTTAACTTCTATTTTTATTTTAATTTATATTACATGTTATTTCTTATAATTGTAAAAAATAATAAAATTCTTAAACTATAATGCCCTAAGGTTGTCATTCATAAATTTTGTCTTATCTGCACAAATGCACAAGAAGATTTTTATCTTAAATAGTTACAAGCGCAACATTGTACTAATTTCATGAATAAGTACAATACTTTGTTATATAAAATATTAATAATTTATATTTTATATTTCTAATTTTTCTTATTTTAAAAATCTTACTTAAAAAATTTGAAAGATATAAAATTTATTACTCTAAAAATATCTAATTATATAAAATTTTATATTTATTAGAAATTTAAGAATATTTTGTAAAGATTTGAATAATTCTTTTGTATGGCTTTATGCATATATACAAATAAAAAAAACTAACAATTAATATTAATGTAGATATACATAAAAACTATAAAATATGTAATTGTATTTTTTTATCTAAATATGGTTAAATTATAATATTATAGCTACATATAATATCATATAAAAATTAGTGTGAATTTCAATTACATATTAAGAAGTGTATATATGATTCTAATATGTTTGATTATTCTAAATAACATCTTTGAGTTACCAACTTTTGTAAGCTTCAAGTTTTAAATAGATGTATTATGTGCATTTATGTTTTGTAATGTATAGTAAATTCTTATTTTACATAAAAATAAAAATTTGATACATCGTATAAATTTGTAAAAGAAGAATAATTGTATTATGCATTAAAGTCATTGTAGTTTTTTGAATCTGGATAAATGAAATAGTTTGCAGAAAATGTTATCTATTATAACCAAAGTCTTTTAGAATGTTTTTACATAATACCAATCATCATATTTGTCTTTATTGACAAAATATTCAAATAACTTAGATTTTTTGATAGAATATAAAATCACTTCAAAATATTTCAAATTATCAAATATTATTAGACTGTTTTATTTTTATCAATTAAATTTCAATTTTCTATTTATTGTGTAAATAATATTTAATTATCTTAATGAAATGATCAAAATTATATATTTTAGTACTGTGTGTTGGTTTCATGGCATGGTTGTGTGTACTGTGTGTTGACCTCAATAAATCATAAAACATTGTTATGTGTTCTAACTAACTCAGGAATATTCATCAATGCTGTATTTAGGCTTAACACTTCATAAGTATAAAACTAAAACAATTGATTAATATCATGAAATGTTTCTATCAATGCATTACACGAGTTATTAATATTTGATATTCATTTCAAGAGACATATGATGTGGTTGCACCATTAACAAATGAAACTGCTCCTAGTTCACTATGAACTATGGGACTTTAAGTATTGCACATTAAAATATATGTGTAGGAAATGTTGACAATATTTGTGGTGTATGAAACATTATAATACAGGATTGGACATTGTGGTTTACAAAATACATTTTTTTTTTATTTTTTTTTTAGCATTTGGCCTATTCAAAGCATCAATGAAATCAACTCCAAACAAGCTATAAAACAAATGTAAACACAAATACATACATACATGCACACAAAATAGTAGTACGCACAAGTGACAAGACAGAAAATAAATAAATAACCATACAATCAATTGAATCATGGCCATTTATACTCAACCGAGCAACATGTAAATGTTTCGGTTATCAATATTGAATAAGTAAAATCTCTTAGGCTTCTATTGTTGAATGGAGTATTGTTACTGTCATTCTAGATGAAACATCTAATTTTCATTTTTACCACCTCACTATCCAACATCATGTATATTTATATTTATCTTGAGAAAAAATAAACATCTTTTCATTTCTCGGAGCAGTTTAAAAATTCTGAACCCAACCAGTTTACTGAATTAAATTTACAATCTTTATTCTTGTTTGTGTAATTTTAGTTTAATTTTCCAAATCACCAACAGACCTATTGAAAAAATATCTGATGAAATACCGTAAACTTGGAAAATAAATATTTCCAAAAATACATCTCCTCTGCTATAAGTACTTATTTTTATGAGCAGGATCACAATTAGAAGATGCTGTGAAAATTATTTGAATTTCAATAAATTCTCTACACATGCTTACCAATTGTTTGCTTAACTTAGCATTGAATTTGGGAGAACTCTGCAGATCCCTTCTCTGAAATAAAATTTCAACCTCAAATCTTCATAAATGTCTTAAGATGATATTTTAACAAATGCTAACTCTACATCAACTCCAATAGCCAATTATTGGACTATTGTAATCAGATTTTATCGAGACATGAACCCACTCTAATTTATACTATTTTTATTTGTTTTTATCCAACCACAAACTCTGCTTGAATTAAATTATGTGACAAGTTTAATGCTAGTTCAGCCACTAATCTCCAACGGAGTTGATTATTTTTAAAATTACATGGAAAATTTATAAGCAACTTGTTGTTATATCCCTCCAACAATGGAAGGATGTTTTAAAACTATTATAATTCACATACCCCTATTAAGAGCCAAGTACTTCATTTAACTATGAACATCACAATTTTACATTGGCAAAATTATTTCTGGTTCAGTAGTGGCCATTAAATCTTATAAGTCGATAAAATATAAAGATAGGTTGTTTTATATCAAAAATACAATAAAAATAAAAAATGAAAATATAAGATATTTGTTTTTGTATAAGATAAGCAATGAATAACTAACCTTATCTAGCAATATGACAATGATTTAACAAATTGTAACCATTACCAAAGGCTCCGTTTTTCACTATTAATATAGCAATCTAGATATTGATCCACAAGGATTTAAGTTTTATTGTTATATAGCAAGTGGGTATACATGGTGTGACTTTAATAGCAAGTACTCATCAATTATTATTTGGAGTATGAAAATAGGATTCACAATCAAAGGTACAAATAAAATGCACATTATATTTTTAACATTGTTTGTGTTTATGTACAGCATACTGTAAATTGAATGAGGATGAAACCAGCTAATTGTTTTTAAAACAGTATTGAAAGCATTCAAAGTTGAGCCTTTTTATTTTTTATAAAAAGTAAAAATATATATTCAACGTTTTTATAAGCAACAACAAATAATTGCTAGTACAACACATATTAATTAATCATATTTTAAAATTTTTAACTGCAAATGTTTACAGAAAAGAGAAGAACTTATGATACACTAAAGGAATAATGACTATAATTTGATAACTTTGTTGTCATAGATAATTTCAATCGGAGCCTGAATCGGAGCCTGGTTGAACAAAACTCCCTTTGATTAAATCCTGCATGAACTGAGGAAAAAGCCATCTTTCATGCAGTCGGGGGTGGGCGTCAACGCAGACACCATCAGGCACAGACGACCTGGAGCAGCAGCTCAGTGGGTGGGGGGGAGCACGGAGGAGCGTGGGATTCACTGCTCCAACGATGCACACAACTTCGCACGCGTCCCACTGTCTATCATTAGCCGATGCCTTGCAAAAGTCAGCGCCATTAAAGAAGAAGATCAAATAGTGTGGTGGCAAGTTGCACAATTGGGCGATCTAATCTAATCGCCTGATAGTATTCAGCAGATAACTCGGTTTGGTGAAATTTGATCTAGTTCCATTGAATTGGGACGATCGCGGAGTGAGAATAGCCTCCTTCCGGCCTCCGCCACGCAAACCCTAATCCCACCCCTGTTCACACGAGGCGTTCGCACAGCAGTTTTTGGGAACGTCTCTGGAGCACACTGTTCCCCTAATAGCCAGCTGGCCCCGTTTGTCCAACAATCCATCGCTGCCACCGAGGCTGTTGCGTCTCCGCTTGTGGTCTCTAGAACGCGTTCCCTTTGTGTTCTCGGGTTGGAAGCGTGGTTCTCATGCTTTGGGAACTTCGGTGACGCTTCAAAAGGGCGATTCTGGAACAATGTGTTTGACAACAAAGGCTCTTTGTATCCAACAAGGGCCGTTTTCCATTGAGTTAATGAAAGGATAACCATTTCTGAACTATTCTATTTGTTTTATTGATGCATGTATTGTAATGAGAAACCTTCATTATTCCGATGGATCCAATCAACCCAGCTTTAACCTGCGAAGCATGAGCTCAGGAGCTAGATGAGAGTTAGTAGTAATTTTCTGCAATTCACACAAACCAGCACATTTTGCAGTACAATTCGCTCAAATAAGCAACTCTTCTCACTCCAGCTTTTTTCCAGTTAAAATAGTGAAATGTATATGCAATGTTTTGTTGGTTCCAAACGTCACCCGCTGGATAATCATCCATGGAGTACGTGGGTGGGTTCTGCCAAAGCCACAATAATGCAACAATGAATGGAGTTTCCAAGTATAGTGTAACAACGGAGGGGTTTCAGCTTTTGGTTTTACTGTCAGTTGGATATACGAAGAATCATCAACGAGCACAAAGCAGCAGCAGCCGAAAGCAGCTAACAAGCCACTAAAAGTGGTAGAAATGGCATCCGGATCCTGCCACATTTAATCAAATCTCCCCCACTGCACCGCAATAAATGGATCCACCCCCCATTCAAAGCACGTCCAGCGGGGACGAAAACTGCCAGCCACATTTGACGAACGTCTCCGTCGTGCCACCAGAACAAAACAATTCAACACATTCGTCGCATCACGAGATCCTCTTGAAAGATTCCACCGCTGCGTTCTGATTTGACATCTGTGCTCTCCGTTCGTGGATGTAGGTAGATGATATTCGTCAGTTGACATTGAGAATATACCCTAGAAAAGCCGGAGGAATGAATGTAAAGCGAAAGTGAGTGGGGTTATGAGAGACGGGGGCTGTGGGACTGTGTGTCCAGTCGGCGTATGCGGGGGAGAAGTGGATCTGCTCGGAGGATATGCCCCGATGCTTGTGCTAAATTCGACCGACTCACCAACTTCGATGGAGTGGTTTTGTCCAGGCCAGAGAAATTGTGGTTACGCACTGACAACGTTGATTGGATTCTGGTTTGGCAATGCCTGCACTCGTGTAAAGTTATCGTGTTTCGAAAGTGAATTCCCTGGTGTAGAGCAAAAAAAGTTGAGTTACCAGGCAGTGTTCTGTCGAGTGTTAACTTGCGCTGCGTGTTTGAGCAGTTGGGTTGTAAGTGCAGTGCGGCACTGATTCAAGAGGTGCTTGTGATATTGATTGTCAAGTCGTGCGCTTGTATCGAGCGTTAATAGGGCAGGCGCTCGTTGCATTGATATGGTTGAGAGTGCCATTGGCGACGTCGTACTTGGAGTCCGTACTGTGGCCTATCGTGAGCGGTTTTGATCAGAGAAAGGACTCAAGGGGGATTTGTCAACTGGTGGCTATTGTGGTGTTCGTGTTGTCCAGCGGAAGCAGTTTGTGGATGCGGTGTTGCAGAAAAGTGCAGCGTAGGGTAGTACTGAGGCGGCATTGCCGAAGGCGATCAAAATGATTAGATTGAGTTGAGCATTTGTTACGGTCGTACAAGAGAGGCATTGTCGAGACGTTTATCAGGAGAGAGACATCGAAAATGTTTCGCATGCAGTTTCAATCGGTGGACACAGCATCTGATAAAGATGAGGATTGCAGCAGTTGTAATAACGTGAATGAGGCGGTATATGAGAGTTACAGAGAGGGGACTGTAGAGGACCGCTGTAATCATACCCCGACCGTCTACGAGGGCCGCGTGGGGAGATTTGGCAAGGTCGAAAAGATCCTAGGTTCAAACATCGTCTCGAATCATGCACATCAGTCGTCTTCGTCGATGAGCCGTGCCGCGAGTACCAACGTGTCCTTGGCAGGTGTCAATAGTTGGAAGGAGGCTGACCTTATGAATTTCCATGCCCCTTCTCTGCAAGGAGTTACACAAGACGAGAAGAGCCACCAGGCGCTTTTTCTTGATGCACAAGTGCTTCGAGATCTTGTGCAAGCAGCCAGTGAAAGTCGTCTAGCTGATGAGCGAAAGGATGTTGAGACTATGTCTATTTCTTCTCCTGCCGCTCTTTTGTCGAGGACTGACTCATTGGTGAGCACAAGTAGTTTCATTAGCGACTCTTCCTCGGATGAATCCGGATGTAGCTTAGGAGAAGCAAAGCTACATCACAAGAAGCCAACGGAGGAGTTGCTACTTGCTGGACTTGAACGAGTGAAGTTGGATAACAAGTTGGAAGAAGAGGTCAAGGATGGAGCCCTCAAACTTGCCGAAGAGGCGAGAAAGGAACGTCTGCGGCATCAGCGTGAGGTAGGACCCCTCACTTCCTTAGGAACCACATTGCATGCTGTGGCTTGAACTCATTTTTTTCACTGCAATAGGTGACTTACGTGAGTGTTTTGTAATTGCAGCTTCGAGACCTAGCAAATTGCACTCATGAGGTGTCTCCATCTGGAAAATCTTTTCAAAAGAATTTAACGCGCAAGATTTTGAGGAAATCTGGGATGAATAGCGTTTATCGATTCCTCAAGTACCCCTTCAGAATTTTCCGTACCCACAAGGACTGTCCTGGATATCCTTGCGCTCAACACACTGTGGTTGTTCCAAGGAAAAATTGTATCTTCGGTGGGTGTTTCACCTCTTCCACAGATGATACATTACCTCAGATGAGGTCAGCACCTCGGCAGCAGACAAAGCCCGTCATGCAGTTCCGCACAGTTCAATCCACTCAACGTGATGTACCCGCATGGACAATGGAGGAGTACATGGCAAAGAATGGAAGGTTACAGAACTGGAAACGCAGGGTGAGTTGCTCAATTAATTTTTCACAACAGATGTTTATCAGGTTTCAATCAAATTCTGGGATGATGTCGAGTAATCAGAAATGAACCTCTGATGTGCACTTATTATGTGAACTGTACTGATATGAAATCATTTTTTTGATCATCACGTACAATTTTTGACATGTTATATTGTCTTTTACAGAAAGACGACGAGGAATTTGGTGGCATCGAGGGCAATAATTTGATGAACCAATATGCTGATAATAATGCCATGAATTCCTACGACTCTGACAGTGACTGAGAATAAGGATAATGGCTGGTTGGGACAATTTTATGATGACTTAACGAGCAGTGTCCGCCAAGACGAGATGTAGCAGGAAGCGGTGGCAGGGAGCAACTCTGCGAAATTGTGCTTGGATGACGATGTTTGGCAACAAACTAAGGACCCCTCATTGGGTTTGAGCTGTACTCCACCGACTGAGGAACTTACAAGTGCGAAATGCTTTGCAGCACATCTACTGATTAGGTTCCGCCATGATGCCGAGTTGGTTTGGGAATAGGTCATTCTTGTGATTTGCTCACAACTCAATTACGTGCACCAAATTCCAAATGTCTTTAGGCGTGCTTCCTCCGGATTTGAAATGTGGTTGAGTCGGCCGAATGAATTACTCGACATTGACAACACTAGGCCAGGTGCAGCTGAACTGAATAGAATCACATGAACGGCCATGTAACGTTATCAATCTCACGCTTGCACCATCGTGTAGTTCAGGAAGAATTCGGGTTACACCCTCTCATTAATGACGTCCTGGTGGTTGGTCTAGCACCAGGAGGATGTCATCAATATGTAACAATGTATATTACAACATTCAATTAATCCAATTCTTTCTTCTTCATGAATTCTCGCCTATTCTAGAACTATTCAAGAGTACCCAATCGCAACGAATACTATGTTCCATGCTTCCATCGTCTCACCTTTATTTCAATCGCCAAGTTTGACTGGATGCAAAGCTATCTCAATTCCAAATATGGACAGTTCGAAGAAGAGCTCCTAGTTTTCCTCGAGAAGAAAGTCCAATGATAAGCGAAAGGTATCTGAAAGTTTACTCTGGTATATCCATATTTCCGTAAATAGTGTACTTACTTTTTCATTAGTCAAAGAAGTTTCCGATGATCAACTTTGCAGGTTGCATGTGAGCAACCTCGCATAATCAGAATACCTACTACTGGAAATAAACATGGGCTCCACCCAAATCTCAGAATCGGCAAACATTTCATTCTCAAACGACAGCAACGAACTAAAACAACAGATGATTTATCTTTTTGCAGATTGTCCACCAACAGACTAAGAGATTATTGGCTTCGGAATTACTAAAGAAAGCAGATGACTGGCGTCAGTGGTTTGTTTTGTTTTTATTATTTTAGTGAAGTAACAAACTCGACAGGAAACAAGTCGAGTAGACTTCTTTTATTTCATGCCAGTTCCTCGCATTTCTAAAGGAATTCCGCGATCTCAGCTTGTCTGGTATTGCCAGAAAACCAAAAATGCCTTGCATTAACACAATTGAATGCTTGTTCAAAACCTGTCTTTCCCTTCACATTGTTTGTTTCCACCTTTCTACTTTCTGAATACAGTCTTGAATAGTGCAAAATCCTCTTCATGGTTATAATCCAAATTGGATTCTTTTAGCCCTTACCGTGAAGAGTCCATATGATGGTCTCTAATTCGATTAGCATTATTGAAATCAAGGCCCAATGTACTCTTGTTCCGTCTTTCAGGCCTTCAACAAGTAGCAGTTTGTTGTTTCAATTTAATTTAAGTAAGATAGTGCAATGTATGTAGGAAAATGTTAAATTGACCCAATGAGAGAAGGGATGGGGTAGGAAACAACATTGGCTCATCATGCAATACAAATGCCACAACATGAGGGTATTTTTCAAGCTTAACAAAGCAATTGATACTTGCTGACATGAAATTATATTATGTAATTGGCACTAGTCTGGTTCTCTAGCAGGGACAAGAGCACAATTTGTGCCAATAAGGTTGTTAATAATTCTAGCATTGTTATAAGTTTAGTTAAACTTTCACAAAAAGTGTATTCTTTTATACATTAAAAATCACCTTTGTTGACTTAAATATCAAGAAGAAGATAGTTGTTTGGGCCACTATATTCAAAAGAGATACCAAGTACAAAAAGGGATTAATTGCCATTGGAACCAAAGAGAAAATAAATATGCCAATGCCTCCTACTATGATGCACTATTAAGGCAAAAGAGGGCCAACTTTGGAAATAGACATGATGCCTATGATTGCAATGCTTGAGCCATTGTATTTAGATCTCTTATCAAAGATAAATTATTCCAATATTTGAGCATCTTTAGTTGGAATCCCTCTAATACTTGTTATAACTTCCTATTCTAAAGAAAAAATCAAGTATCTTATTGTCTTCGTTCAAATCTTCCTCGACAATGTTGTTTTAAAATTATATAATGGGTTAGGCCAAAGAGAATACTATGATGTTATATTTACTTACTATTGATGATATTTGATATTAGAGGTTAAGAAGGTAAGCCAAAATCAACATAATATTATAATTGGATATTTCATAAAACATGAGTGAGTGACTGTAGATGTGGGGCATTAACTTAAGAGCAATATGAGTAGAAACAAAGGCTCCTCTTATTTGATAAAAAAAGTGGCAAAACCTAGATTGAAGCAACTTGAAGTTTCACTTCTAATTTATTTAGAAGCCAATGGACTTGATAGTACAAAACAAATTGTGGTGAGGCTATCTTCTTCATTTGAAGATATTAAAGGTGACAAAGAATAGAAAATTGATTATTTTACGGCAATACTAAGATCCCAATGGGAACCTCTACTAATCACACTGCCATAGAAGCACATGGGATGGAAAGATGTTGAGATTGAGGATGGGAGAAATTAGGATTGAAAATGTGGATTGAGTACAAGAACTATGGACAAAGAAATCAAGATGGAGAACAAGGAGATTGAGACAAAGAATAAGGGATCCATCCATTTTGATGATAGTTGGGTGTCACGGACATACTCATATAAGCCAGTAATTACATATACAAATAGGTGGAAGTAAGTAAAAGTAGGTAAAAGTAAGTTAATTCTATAGTATTTAATAAAGAAGCTTCCTAGAAGCTTTATAGACACTGCTTTGACTTCATAGGTATCTTTAATTGACTTTTTGGATTAGAAACGTGGTCAACAAGTTGGCCATGTGCCACACATATTGTTAGCTTGAAGATCAAGCTAACTATGTAGCCCACACGTAGAAAAACTTGCCTTATAAGTGAAGGCATGTGTCCTACAAAGTCAACACATATTGGAGGTCCTATAGAATGTTGCCACGTAGTCCTGTCACGGACACAAAATACAGACTTGAAATCTAACAAGAAGTTCAAGAAGAAGTGGCAGAACTAGATTAAACAGATGAGTACAAGAACAACACTAGAAAGGTGAGCTAGAACTCCAAGAGATGTGTTGTCGAGACTGAAGAACTCTTCAGCCTCGACTCCTATATATACTACTGGCCTATGGTTCTAAGGAAGCGCATCAAGAAGCTTCCCAAGAACTATGAAGCTTCTCGAGCAACTACCTAAGAGCTAGGAAGCTTCTCAAGTAACTTCCTAGAATCTACTAGAATATTCTAAAAATCTTCTAGAGCCTTCTAAGGGAATCTTTAGGGAATCTTCAAAGAATCTTTAGGGAATCTTTGAAGAATATTCTAAGAGAATATTCAAAGGATCTTCTGGAAGTTTCTAGAAACTTCTTTCTAGAAGGTTCTAGAAACTTGTCTCTAGAAAGGTCTAAGGACTATGTCCCTAACATCACCTCCTCCTTTCGCTTCGAGGTCTCCGAGAAGCAATGCTATCGTTAGTCAATACCAATGCAAGAAAATGAAGATCTGTCGCATAACCTCTGCTATGAACTCCAATTGTTGTTGACGAGGCAAGTGATTCAATGGTCCTTGAAGCCAACGGTAGTGGCCCAGGCCTTCAACTTCTGAGCAAGCATGAACCTCCGTGTCTTCATTGTGAAATTGTCCTGCAAACACTCCTTCTGGCTGACCATTGTAGGCAGGCTCGACCTCAAATGCAATCACCAGCGATCTGTTGCTCGGAATCCTTCGACGTTGTCGTGGTGCAGGCGGTTCTTCATCTCGCAGACGTCGTCGTGGTGCAGGCGGTTCTTCATCTCGCGGTCGTCTTCGTGAGCTAGTTGCTTGAGATGACATGACAAGTGTAGTATCTTGGCTATCCATATTCAAAGGCTAAAACAATAAGAACAAACTTGGACTACTAACAAAGTTCTACGCTATCTTGGAGAGAATGACTACATCAACTATGGATTTTGGTGGTGCTCTCTCCTCTTTTCTGTTTTTTGGATGAGCAAGCTTCAGTAAGAAGCTATCGTCGAACCGGCTTGGATTTCTCAGGATATCGTCGATGAAACTCTTGTACCTTTTGCGACGCATTTGCGAGATATTCGGCCGGCTCCCATGTTCGTTCATTAATATCGTAACCGCTCCAATGCACAAAGTATTCTAATTTATCCCGTCTTTGCCGTGAATCCAGGACCTTTTTCACCTCATATTCTTCGTGGTTCTCTATTTCTATGCTAGGTGGTGGACATTGTACTCTTCCAGGAAGAGACGATTCTCGATAAGGCTCCAACAAAGAAACATGAAAGACAGGATGTACCTTCATAGTAGCTGGTAACTCCAGACGATACGCTATAGGATTGATCTGCTTCTGGATAACAAATGGTCCCAATCTCCGATAGTCCAATTTGTCACATGGTCGCTTGGTCTTAATATTTCGTCGAAGTAGCCAAACTTTGTCTCCAATCGTGAATTTAGGTGCCTGATTCTGAAATTTATCCGCGGATGCCTTATAAGATTCTTGGGCAGTTTGCAATTGAAGCTTCAATGTAGTTTGAAGCTGCGAAAGCTCCTTCACCAATCCTTCAGCTGTCGGATTGTTAATCGTTGATGAACTCCATAAGTCAAGCTTCGGATGGTATCTATAATTGAAAAAGAATGGCGTTTGTTGAGTTGACGCATGAAGGGTGTTGTTATATGCGAACTCGGCTAGCGGTAGATATGCGGCCCAATCATCTTGTTGATAGTTGATGGTGCAACGTAAATATTGCTCTAAAACTTGATTCACCCGTTCTGTTTGGCCGTCCGTTTGAGGATGAAATGCCGAAGAAAGCTTGATATCCACCTTTAATATCTCAAAAAGAGATTTCCAAAACTTTGACACAAACTGGGTTCTTCGATCCGATACGATATCATCTGGTAGACCATGATATCGATACACATTATCAAGAAAGAGTCTTGCTGTGTCTTTGCTTGACGATGTCTTCTTGCAAGGGACAAAATGTGCCATCTTTGTAAGCCGATCTACGACAACAAAAATGCTGTCAAATGAATTCGATGGTGGTAGATCCGTAATAAAGTCCATGGAAACCGAAGACCATGGTCAACACGGAATAGGCAATGGCTGTAGAAGTCCATAAGGCCGATGTCGAGGGTTTTTGGATCTTGAACAAATGTCACAAGATACAACAAAATCTTTCACATCCTTCCACATTTGAGGCCACCAGAAATCGTGGGAAATAAGTTCCAAGGTCTTATTGAATCCAAAATATCCCGCAGCTGGAAAGTCATGACGAGATTGAAGAACTCGGAGTCGTGTTGGCCTTTTTGGGATATACAACCGCTCTTTGAAATATACTAGATCTCCTTCCATCTTGAATTTATCATCACTAGCATGTTGCCTCATATCAAGGGCTAGAGAATCTTCAATGGTTGCGGCCCGTACCTGTTCGAGGAAGTCAGCATCAATTGATACAATAGCTGCGTTGA